CTCATTCTGCATGAGATCTTGGTCTGTTTTAGGGCGTCTTGTCGCTTTAAATCCCAATAAGCTACTGGTGGCGTTTACACTCGCATGTGAAAATGTCTGCAAACAAATTCTTAATTATACAACCGTACATATTTGAGAAGCACAAGTGGCACCTTCTGCACACTGCAAAATTGCCAACTAATTTTGGTCTAGTTTTTGTGCAAATATGAAATAAATAGTTACTGGTTTCACAACTGTCAACTGTGTTATTTTTATGAGTTCTTATGTTGGTGATTTCATAATGTAAAGCACTTGGACATGCCTTGCTGCTAGACAAATTTGGCTGATTACATCTAACTTTTCTGAACAATACAGGAGCTTGATTTAGGTTAATTCCTTAGTATTATTAAAACGTACTATTTCCACTGGGAGTTTATTTCACTTCAAACATGGAAAAAATGTCTTGTTAAAAGTGAGATACTCTGCTAATGGAACCATTACTTTATCGAAAATAATAAGGAATTATTGACCTAAAATATGGTCCTACGTTTAACTGAAAATTTACTTTTGAGCTTGTTTTGTCTTATTGCAGGTGTACTAAGATATTTCATAAAAAGCAAGATCAAAAATACTTTGTAGGATTTAGTGTTTTTGCAGTGTACAACCAACAAGAATCCTGCATGTGATTTCTGGATGCTAAGTCAACAACATGACGCCTGTCTTTCCCAGCAGCCACTGAACAATGCATACAGGCGTAAAGGCAGCTGACCAAGTGTGCTGGAACTCAAATTGGGTTGCTAGGAAACAAGTGGAACTCGGCTGGGGTTGCTCAGCAACAGCTGTGGTTCACCGCGGTTACTAGGTGAAAGGTCAATGCCTGCTGATTTATGACATTCTGAATCTTTTTTAAACGGCTCCTTTTCCAGAAATACTAAAAACATTTACTTATTGCTAAAAACTGGCTGTTTGGGGTATTTTTAAGAGCTTTGGGTGTTTTTAGAAGCAGCTGAAACCCAAATTGTAAGTGCAAATTTATGCTAAAAAATGTCAGTTTTGTGTAAGACGTCCCATTAAAGATTACTTTCCTCCTTTTCTTCATGCTTTGCTTTGTTAATTTTGTTTCAAATCAGACTTTTATTCTGTTCACCAGAAAAAATTGTCCCCTGGTTAAAAATCAGCTCAGATCTCAGCCCACATCCAGTTGTACTGGATCTAAAGCTATTTGCGGCTCCTCTCCAACTCCTCAGCGGTCAAATTTTCAGATTAAACATTGTGCAATATAAAAAGACTCAACAGGAAACCATACAGCAGTGGCTTTTAACCTGGGCCCATTACAATTCTGCTCACTTTTCTCCGAGGAGGCAATCCGCAGCTGGAAACTCAAAGTAGAGGAAGTAGCAATATGTTCTTGCTCCTGGTGTACCAACTTCAAATGTTTTCATCGTTGGAAATGCTGCTCACGCTGCGGTAAGCACTCGATGCTGAGAGGAAATGACAACGAGACGGAGGAAAGACACCGCAGGGGGCTGATTTTCACACAAACTGATTTTCTTTGTTTGAACAGCTGAATGAAACTGACAATCTAAAATCATTCTTACAATTACACCAGAGTATTGACATTTGAGTAAAACTGCTTCCTATGTTGTTCTATTTTAGCAGGTAATTTATGAACAGTTTTAAGGTTTTTGATATTTAACCTTCATTTTTTAGAAATGCAACACCCAACTGTTTCACCACTACTGAACAAAGAACTTTAACACTGAACAAAATATTAGAGTTTCACTGCAAAAACACAAAATCTTACCAAGTAATTTTAGTCTAGTTTCTTGTGCAAATATCTTAATGCTCTAAAAGTAACTTCTCAGCTATATATGGTGTCTTAAGTAAATGTTTCTTAATATAGATGAAAAAGTACTAGTTCCTTTGACTTATAACATTTTTTTTATGTAACAAGTGAAATGATGTGCTGGTGAAGCAGCCGTTTGACTCTAGAACCATAACAAACGTAACAAATGTTCACATACATGCTGGTGTTTGAACAGTTTCTACAAATTTTTAGATAGTATTTTTGTTGTTGCACAGTTTTTGTCACTAGCCTGATAATTTTGCCCTTTCAGTTACCGGAATGTAACATCACAAAACAGCTCACCTAGCAACTACAGTGAAGACTGAGCTGTTACCTAGCAACCCCAGCCGAGTTGCGCCCATCACCTAGCAACCTATGCGGACCTCCAGCACATTTGGTCAGCTGGTTTCACTGCTGTATGTTCTGTACAATGGCTGCTGGGAAAGACAAATGTTTCGGTGTCAACTTAGCATCCAATTTGGTTGTGCAGGAGGCTCCACTTCTGCTTTTCAAAGACGAACAGTTGTATCATTGTGCATCTATTTGCAGTGATTTTCACTTGTGAGTGTAAAGGTTGAGTTGGGGGAATTGGCCAAGAGCAGCTTATTTGGATTTAAAGTGACAAGACGCTCTAAAGCAGCTCAAAATAGACAGAAGTGAGAAGACTTAAACCTCACTATCGAAGAATGATTTTGTGAACAAAATGTCATGAACAGATTTCATGTCACCTACAGACCTATCCTCACCTGTGCAAGGAAGCACAACAGATCACTTTTAAAGGGTGTTTTATTTTTTATACTACTGGTTTTCAAGTTTAATGAACCCCAAATATAACAAAAAACCCCTAAATTAACAATGCAGGACTGTGAAACAGCCAGACTGGATAGAGTCCAGCATATGACTGCAACATTCAGGTCGCTGCCTCTGTTCAGAAAGGTCGAGGGTTAACATGGCCGAGGGTGACGAGGGCTGCTTCATCAGCACCACAGGGATGAGGAAGAAGAGGAGGAGGAGGAGGAGAGACAGAGGACAGAGGGGAGAAAGTCATGTAAAGTAGGTCAGCGAGAAAATGTGATTATCCAGAAAAACAAACAGCAGCCTCATCCCATGTCCAGAAACACTGGCCTCCTGTATCTTCTCCTAAATCGGCGCCCAGATTCGTCTCCCAGCGACGCTCAGAGTCACACTTACTGGACAGGTTGGCACAAACACAGACGGGGAGACAGCTCCTTCTCCCCGCTGCCTTACATGGTGCTGGAGCGACTGCAGCCCTGCTACACACAGCCAATATTTCAGAAACGCAGCAGAACAGCCACCCTGGCGTCCCGCTATGGCTCCGTTCTCCGTCCCAGAATGACCAGGTTCTGGGACGCTGCTGCAGGAAATCAACCGAATTCAAACAATTCAACAAGGCCCCAGTTTTCTGGAAATATTTAGAGAAATCAGTCGTTATACACTGAAACAACTGTTACTGTTTTACAGGGGAACTGGTCATTCAAAAGTCACATTTTGCACATTTTTGTGCTTCTATTTGAGTTCCTACTCCTTTTAAAAGAGCATAAGCACTTAAAAAAGATATTTTTTGGAAATAAGTTAATGTTTTTGGTGTATTAAAAATTAGTCATTTCAAAAAAACTGACTGTTGCATCCTACAGCGCCATTACTTAACAACCCAACCAATATTTTTGGTCATCTGGTTTTACTGATGTACGAGTTGTGCAATGGCTGCTGGAAAACATAAGTTTTTTGTTGTTTTCATTCAAAAACCACTTGCTGCATTCTTACTGATTGTGCAAGAGGTTCCAGATCTGCTTTTGAAAGATTTGCCATTGTATGATTCTTGTATAATTTGTTTGCAGCCATTTTCACATGCGATTGTGTGAGCTGAGTTGGGGGTTAGCTTGCACCTTTTTCTTTATTTTACAAAAGTCCTAACTGGCAGTTTTGCCTGTTTTCCCTATTTGAGCCGAATGATTAATATGATTGATGTTTTGAAGTGTAATTTTGTGCAGAAAGACTTCAGTGACCATTTCATATAATTTTTGGGTTGTTTTGTTCATTTATTTTTTTAATATTTAAATTATCTTCTAGTGTCAGTGTGTAAAATGTTCTTTGGAAAATGAAATTTTATTGCTGTATGAGAGGGTGTACTTGGCCTTTATCATAGGGCAATAAATCAATAACAGAATATATCGTTATAACCTCGTTATCAATATCAGTATCAATTAGTAATACATTTGATACAGTTTCCAACTATTTCTACAATCCAGAACCGCACAGCCTTCTGGGAGATGTAGGCAGTGGAAAGACATTAGGCGCTCAACCTAGCTTAGCAAGGCTGGTGAACTCACTCACTCTCTGGTTACCTAGCAACTCACTCACTCTCTGGTTACCTAGCAACTCACTCACTCTCTGGTTACCTAGCAACTCACTCACTCTCTGGTTACCTAGCAACTCACTCACTCTCTGGTTACTTAGCAACAACTTTAGCAGGTTGTTGCTAAGCTGCAGTTCAAGGTTTCGCCACTATGCCTCAAAAGGGATTAAAAATAACGATGTGGAGTGAAAATTGTGGATAAAAGATATTTAAAAAAAATCAATAATTATCAATATTGACCGATATGAAACACTTATTTTGTGAGAGGTTAGTTAGTCGTATTAGTTCTACTTTATCGTTGCTGAAAATGGTCTCAAAACATCAATTTTATTGTTTAAATCAATAACTTCTGGAATAATTTATCTTCCAGTAAAATCTGTTATTGTGTAGGCCTGTTGCAATAACCAATCAATCAATTAATCGCATGATCAGTTAAAACAAATTCATTAATTTCCATTTGATTTACTGCTTTTCTATAATTTTGTTTATAAAGACTTCATAATTTGTTTTATTCGTTGTTTATGTTTTTTTGGACTTCAAATGTCTTCCAGTGTTAGAAGTTTGTTAGAAGTTTGTGTTCGTGCATCATTACCATTTATAAATGGTCTCAAATCAATATTATCATTTATCCAATAACATCGGGGACAATTTATTGTCCAGCAAAATTTGTCATCATGACAGTGCTTTTCTTGCATTTCTTATTTTGGTGAAATTAGAAATCATAAACCAAGACCAAACAAAATGTGACAGAAATGAGAGAGTTGAGTGAGTAAGCAGGTGTGGATGATATTGACACACCTGAGGGTTTCCAGCCTCCGACTCCGGAGAACTCCTCGGCGGTCTGATGGACACCTGCCGGCTCTTGAGTGGCGCCGAAGGCAGCGCTAAGGCCGACGGTCTGCTGGGGGTTTGGGGGATGGGGAGGGCACTGTGAACCGGTTTGGGTTTCGGGAGTCCTGACTTCATGGCTGAGGCCACCAGGATGGCTGGCATCTTCTCCCCCGAGTCCACGAAATGACCGAACCGCCCTCCACTTCCACCAATTTCTGCTTGCTCGCTTCAGATCCCAGTGTTCCCAGAACCGAGCAGCACACACCAAGGTTGCACCTGATTGAGGTGCAATTTGTCAGCGTCTGGATCTTTGGCTGCAGAGAAGTGGGGAAGCCTTGCCAATATGCAGCGCAGTGGGGTGGGGGGTTAACCCTCACATTTCCACCTGTTTCCCATTACAGGCAGCTTCAGTTCTCAAAACACAAAAACAAATGTCCAAAAATTTCTGCAGAAAAACCAGCAGAAATCCCAGGGAGGAATCCCAGCTGCCTTGCAGCGTTGCAAAAAATCCCTTCCACTCACCTCCAGTTCAGAGTGAGTCGGCAATTAACCAAAAGAACCCTTCATCAGCTCCTCTTCCTCCTCTTGAATGAAATAATTGCCTGAAGTCGTAGATTTGTGAAGAACCAGCAGAAACAGATGGAGGGAGGCGGCAGCGATGCAGCAACTGTTCGCTTCAGCGACTGCTCTGCTTGTGAGCGCAGCCTGAAAACACACTCCACACACTCTCTCTCTCTGTGTCTGTCTCTCTCTCTCTCTCTCTCTCTCTCTCTCTCTGTCTCTCTCTCTCTCTGTCTCTCTCTCTCTCTCTGTCTCTCTCTCTCTGCGCTCAGCAGCAGGTGTGGCTTAGATCAGGCTGACATATGTGGAGACGGGCTCAACACACACTGGTGGCGTCTTCATCCAGCCTGCCGCTCTCTGATCCCGTTTGGCTTAACTCCTCACCGAAACGTCACATTTATGAAGCCGTTTGCTCTCAACTCCAGTTTGAAAACAATGTTACAACGTAGCAAGTTTGATCTGGAAATTTCTTTATGAAAATCATCAAAATGGGGTAAATCAGTTGCTCAATATGCAATTCTGAGGGGGAAAAAAAGTCATAATTCTGAGATTAAAGTTATAATTCTGAGAAAAAATAAACTTGTTTACTTTTAATCTATAGTGCGAAGGAGAACATCGTGTTCAGTTCTTGGATATTTCATTATTAAAAATTAGTTTTTAAATGTAATGCATTATTATTATTCCCTGAACAGGTAAGGATATATTTATGGATGATATAGAACATGTTCATTACATTTTTAATATATAAAGACATTTTAGTCTGATCTGTTCTGCCTATTTTGAGCTGGTTTAGGGCCTCTAATAGTAATTGTATTAAGAATAGTACTATTATTCTCATAATAGTAATTTAAAAGGGCAGAAATTTGTGTTTCCCGGAGCAATAATACCATTTTATAATGTAATCAAGTAACTATGTCACCATCAGTGGTTCTAAAAATGCTGTACGCATCAAATATGACTTAAAAGACATTTTACTTTGTAATTTATGCCTTGAAATTGAGGCTCTGTCTCTTTCTGAAGCTCCGCCTTCAGGAAGTCACCACAACACTGATCTTCTATTAACCCTTTACTGACATTTTTACCAGCATTTCACTGAGACGCAGCTCCTATAATGAGCTCAGCAGATGTGCAGTTTCGCCAGATGTTTGCTAATTGCTGCTGGCTAGTCTGAAGGAGCTCAATGAAGGCTCCTCTGGAAGCTCTGGAGATTGGAAACTGCAGCTCTGAGGAGGAGCTTCGTCCTTGAAAGCAAAGCTCGGTTCACCCAGGTGTTGGATGGTTGCCATGGACACTAAAGGATTCCTCAAACATGCATGAAAGAATCAAAGTAGCACCGCAGGTATGGTTTTGATGAGGGAATAACGTCATAACATGATGTAAAAAAAGTCAGTTTTACATGATACCAAATAAGCCGCTGCTGGCCCTGTCCCCCAACTCAACATTTACACTTTTCTGTGAAAATGGCTGCAGACAGATGCAGAACTATTCAATTGTATTTTTTATTTTTATTTTTTTGAAAAGCAGAAGTGGAGCCTCCTACAAAACTAACCAGAGTGCAGCAAGTGGTTTGTGGATGCTGAGCAGCCATTGTACAGTGCATGCTGTGGTAAAACCAGCTGACCTAATGTGCTGGAACTCAGCTCGGGTTGCTAGGTAAGGGTCAGAATTCTGCTGGGGTTGCTAGGTAACGAGCAGTGTTACTTTCCGGAGGTTTTTGAAACTGCTCATTTTCCAGACACTAAAAAACATTAACTTATTGCCAAAAACCGGCTTGGTGGTTTTTTGAAGTTTTGTGCTGACAGACGTGCTAATCGATTACTGAATTGACTGAAGATTGATCACCTATAATTCTGCATGGAGAAAACAGAGAAAAAATACATGCTGCCTTTTCCCTCTGTTTATAAAAACATTTAAACTAAAATGTTAATATTGTTATTTAAATTTGAAATAATTATTTTAATTCTGCTTTATGGTCACTTTATATTTGTGTTTCTTCAGCATCAAAAAACATTTATTTGCATTTTTATCAGACTCCTCACACACACAAGGACAATTTTTTTTAATTTTTTTACTCATCCCTATACTGCTGGAGCAGCTGAAAACTCTTCCAGTGATTTACTCTACAATGACTGCTTACTTATAATAACAGGAAAACCATGTTAAACTCTGCATCTGCCTACAAGAAACAACCCAAACCAAACTGATTAGGAGAAATTACCAGCTTCAGAGCCACGAGAAAGTGCAACTCTTGTGTTTAAACATCTCAGAATGAAGAAATCATTTCGCTTTGTTTTTTGAATGTAACATTTAAAAACCGACCAACAGAAGTGGGTGAATATGATAATCCTAATCCTGTTATATTAATCCCAAATTATGCTAATGCTGATATCTGATTATGTCTAAGTGCCATGTTTTGTATTCGTGTGTTTTCAGTTTGTGTTTTTAGCAACATAAGGGCTTGAGAATCCAAATAAATCAAACTATTCATCCAGGTTTTTCAAAACCAGTAGCCTAAAAACCGGACAAAAAAACTGCACTTTTAATGTTCCTATTCAAAATATATCTTTAAATCTGTCACAGTGTAACACTACAAGCCTTTCTTTTAACAGTGAAACATATAGGAAAATACATTAACTCCACCCTGGCTGCCTCAAATGTCATTCTCTCATTTGGAAAATGGAAAAAAGGAGAAATCATGCGAAGCATAACAAGGGAAATTTCCATTATTTTCCTTCCCCTGTGATGATAAACATATGTCAGACCCACGTGGATCACAGAGCTGCACTTCACAGAGGCACAAAAAGAAAAAGAAAAGCAGTGAAATGTGATTTATGCTGCAACCTTTGAAGATACCTGATGAGAGTCCAGTGGAGTCTAATAATAGAGGCTGTTTGGCAGTAAATGGGCGGTATTGACAGTAATAAGTAGGACACCCACCGCTGTGCTCTGCTGTATGTTTATACTGTATTTCTGCCAGAATAATAAACATTCATGTGGGGTAGGTGGTGGGTGTTTTCAGTGAGCTGCAGTCAGATTCAGATTATATAGGAACTCTATAGGAGGCTTGCTTAAACATGTATATCTGGGTGCAGCTCTGCAGAGTTCTGACATCTGTGTTCAAAAAATACCAGTCCAAGCACCGCTCAAAAAAACTCTGAGGGGTTAAAGAATGTGACGTATGAAAACACGTAGTGCAACTACAAATGTAGTCATCACTTTTCAATCAATATCAGCATTGTTAGTGCAAAAGTTGAATTTTGCTTAGATTGCAAGATTGTCAAGAATAGTCCACATTAACACATTGCAAAAGCACAAAACTTTACCAAATATGTTTTGTAAGAGTGTAGTAAAAAAAAACTTAGTACACTTGAAATAGGACGAAGTAATTTTTCAACTTGTTTTAAGTCAATAATTCCTTAAAAAATGTCATAAGTGAAATTATCTGCCAGTGGAATTTGCACTTTCTCTTCTATATTAAGGACCGATTATGCAAAATTCAGCTGCTTCTGACAAAATGCCCCAAAAAAACACCCAGGTTTTTTAGCAACAAGCTAATGTTTTTGGGTATCAAAAACCTTCTGAATGTAACTTCACAAACTAGCAGCGCTCCACCCGATACTAAAGGTAAATGTAATTTTATTTATATAGCACGTTTTCAGCAACAAGGTAATACAAAGTGTTTTTACAGAAATTAAAAGGAAATTTATGTCCTAAGCAACACAAGTTCACCTCCTGCTCATCTGGTACAATGGCTGCTGGAAAAGACCATTGTTTTGTTGTTAACTTACCATCAAGAAACCACTCGATGCATTTTTGTTGGTTGTGCAGGAGGCTCCACTTCTGCTTTCCAAAGACGTGTCTGTTGGCAGCCATTTTCATTTGTGAGAGTTAACATCAAGTTTGGTTAAGAATAAGAATAATTTTGTGCAAAAAATGTACTGAACTTATTCTTTAATCATATTTTATTTTTTGTGATTTATATTTGAGGAAGGTGCTATATATAAATAAAACTCACTTTTTAACTCACTTTATAAAAACTGGGCAAGCAGCTTGTACAGCATTTAATGTTTTTGGGTCCCTTACGTATCAAAATACTTTAAGATCAAATTCAAGCGACTTGTTAAATATCTTTCATCCCCAAGCCACGATTCATATTCAGGCTATTCAAGATGCAGCAATATTTATGCATCATAAATTAAATTAACTTGCAGACACACGCACATCGACACACTTTTATTGCTGATTGTTTTCATCAGCGGAGTCAGCAGACCGGAACAACTGGGCCGTCTGCGGCAACATGAGCAGCACTAACTGGAGCAACAACCTGACATTTCCACCGTGCCGCCACAGGATCTTTGACTTGACCTACACACCGTTTGCTTCATCGCTTTGCCCCCGCCCCACGGAAAACCTCTCCTGGTAATGAAAGGTGGCAGCCAGCAGGGCCCTGGCACCGCTGCAGCACAACATGCAGTCAAAGCACAAACACACAAATGACAAAGTCTCTACGCACACATTCAACACAAATTAATCTCAAAGGAATCTGCTGACTCAGCTAAAGTAAGGACAAACTCATTTTTGCCTGTGAAACACAAAGTCAAATTGAGATAATAAAATTTTTTTTAAAAAAAACAATAAGGAGAGTCAGAAAAGAGGCAGGAGTCAGTCGGAGTAAATTTGTGCATTAGTGTCAGCCCAGCTGCAGCACATGGGTGTGCACGTGTGTATGTGTGTGTGTGTGTGTGTGTGTGTGTGTGTGTGTGTGTGTGTGTGTGTGTGTGTGTGTGTGTGTGTGTGTGTTTGAGATCTAAATGGGTCTTTTGGCCTGTATGTGGGAAGCCAGGCATCCTG